GCAGCAAAGCTGACGATTGAAGGGAAATGGTCCGCTGCCACGGATGCCAGAAATAGAGTACTGACTCGACTCAAGAAAGACATCGGCTTAGCCACACTCTTAAACATCAAGAAGAAGCACAAGTACGCCACATCAATGCTTAAGAAATTTCTCAACAAAGACGAGGTCAAATCAGTGTTGGGTGTCGGAAAGACGACGGCTTGGGTTAGATGCAACAAACTGGTGAAAAATGCTCTGCATGAGGATGTGATGAAGACTGTTAAGACGATGGTGGAGGATGTGGTGAGGAAGACAAGGGTACTACTTTATGAAGGAGCGTTGGATTTGAAGGATGGCGTGCTGTCAGTGGAGGCTTGGGTGAGGGAGATGGAGTGGGAGGGAACTCCGAGGTTCTTAGAGGCGACGAGAGAGGAGTGGAGAGTAGAAGGGGAGGTTGCGGGGACTGTGCAGAGCTGGGGGAACTTGACGCATGTCGTGGTTTTCGACGCCGGACATTTGGCTGCGGCAGACCGGCGGATGAATACGCAGGCTATGATTGAAGGCTGGGTTTTGCAGAGTGGAAGTTTTTTCAGGAAATAAGATGATCAGCACCAAACCCCCAATGATCGAAATAAAAAAGATAAATAAATAAATAAAAATCGACTATTTACAAAAATAGCATTATATATACGAGTATTTTTATATCTCACACTCAAATTTTTAATGTGACCTTTAATTTTTTATAAGTGCAACAGAAATAACACTCGACATATCCTGTTCAAATTCCATTTTCTTCTCCGCATAAATTATGTACTCACTCTCTTCTCCCATAAAGAAATTTAACATATAAGAGTTTGAACGCAATTCTGTGTGTGGACTTCAGTCATATACCGTCATATGTGCTACATCACGGAGTTTATTGAGAGTTTATTGAAGTGAAACCACAAAAATTATTAAAGTGTTTCACTTCAGTGAAGGTTATTGAGGGTTTAATGAATGAAGTGAAAAGAGGATGTTATTGAGGGTTATTTCAGTGTTATTGGAGTTAATACCCCAACAACCCCCTCAATAAACTTCTAACAACCCTCCAAATAACATCT